GCTTCAAAAAATTCTTGATTTTCGGGAAATAATAAGAATAATTTCCGATAATTGTAGGAAAGCCTAAAGATCTCCTGAGAAGTTTGGGAATTGGTGACATACTTTGAGAAATTTACAGAAACTGAATAATTTTGAGAGCAATCTCATTTAGATAATTTCCGAAAACTTCAGCTAAAGTTCCAAGATCTTAAAGGAAGTCCAAAGAACATTATAGTGTTTATATTTGTGGCCAGTTTTGTTTTTTTCAGGCATGTTCCGAGTACATAAGGTGATACTCTAAGGAAGCCTTAGCGTGAAACTTCAAATGTACAGATGTCAGTTTCCACAAAACATACAAATTTGAAATTGCTACTCTTTGTTTGTAGTAGCACAGCAAACAAGGAGTAGCAATTTCAAATTTGTATGTTTTGTGGAAGCTGACATTTGTGCCTTTAAAGTTTCACGCTACGGCTTCCTTAGAGTATCACCTTAAAGGAAGCTTCTGATCAGTAAAATTGCAGAGTCATCCATGTTCACGTGGAGTCCATGAACATCCGAAAAAAAAAACTGTAACGTTAGAGGAGTTCAGAGAACTTCTCTATAATTTAGGGTACTTCACGAAGGAATGAAAACATCATGCAAGTTCAGAAAAAGTCATAGAAGTTTAATGAGAGAGAGAAGGATTAGTATTTTCCATTTAATTCCACTACTTTATTTGCTTATCCTTGACAGATACGCGTATTTCGTCTACAATGTGCAGACTTCTTCAGTGTCTTGTACTAATACTCGACTGTAGTCGGAGTCGAGTATTAGTACAAGACACTGAAGAAGTCTGCACATTGTAGACGAAATACGCGTATCTGTCAAGGATAAGCAAATAAAGTAGTGGAATTAAATGGAAAATACTAATCCTTCTCTCTCTCATTATACAGGTATTCCACTAAGACGCCCACATTCATCAGGATTCATAGAAGTTTGTAGATTCTAAAGGAGTGAGATTCAAAGAAGATTTAAAAACTTCTGGAAAACTACAGAAATTTCACTGTAGATCAAAAAACTTTAAAGCCGTTCCAAAAAGTTTAAATAATTTCTCTTATGAATTCGACGATTTTCTGAAGAAATGAGAACTGCCTTAAAGATCTCTGAACATCAAACAATAAAGCTATCTAAACATCCCAGAATTCGGAAAGGTCTAGACTATCTGGGGACTTTAAATGTCTTGAAGATTAGTCCTTTGTTTGGGCTGTTCAGTCTTCAAGAAAAAGTACTGATCACAGTATTATCATCACTAATGATTCTATCCAGGTGTTCGAGTCTTTATCTGGGCTAGTTTTAGGTTTACATCGTAGAGTTTTTTGCGCTACACAAAGGATGGTATAACTTTATATCCTCTGAAGAAGACCGAATCTAACGACTTATTGATCCATCGTTAAACTGAAAAGTCGTTTCCAGACAAATTAGTAGTTTCAAGTTGTATCGCACTTATTTAAATGAGTTCCAGTGCAACAAAATTGACGAAATGTTGGACTTCAGTTCCATTTTTAATGCAGATTACGAATACGCATTTAACTTAATAACATTAACTAACTTGATTGTCTGGTGGTCAACTTAATGACATATAATTTAAATCATAATATATAGCTGATTATTAGACCCAGGTAAGGGACATGTACACTATGCACGCAAAATACTGCAACTTTCGTTTCATATGACGCCTAAATCTTGGGAATTCAACTACGAAAACTTAATCATAATCAAATGTATAGCCTAGCGCTGGGCTTGTCAGAATTCTAGCAGAAAAAAGACCACTTGAAAGTTGTATTATAGGGAAATTGAAACCTGTAATCACCAACAAACTCCCGCTGATAACGTTCCTCAATCGAGAGCACCCTGTAAAATGATATGAAATTAAATAAATATTGAATTTGAATCCATCCACCTTTTTTAAGCTTCCCTAAATTGTTTAAAGAAGATGTCATCTTAAAATTAGGTATTCAATTCGATTTAATCATTTTAATTTTTAATCACTTAATTTAAAAAAAAATAGCGGCGCCGGTGGTGTAGTGGTAAGCGTGATCACCTCTCACCCCAGCAGGCCTGAGTTAAATTCCAGTCGGCGCCGCCGGAATGTTCTGAGGCATAACATCTCTGATCACGCCTTCCTTCGGAAGGGAAGTAAAGCCGTTGGTCCCCGGTTCATGAGTTGATGGTTCGATAGGTAGGGTCCAGGTGTGGGAGCTGCCTCCCTGGCGTCGGTAGCATTGGTGCTCAGCACGGAAAACAAGATCGACAGAAAACAAATCAAGGAAAAAAAATTTAAAAATAAAATCCGAGCGAAATTAAAGACCAACAATTGCCTCATCCACGCACCCTCAGTTGAAAAAAAAATCAAAAGAACAAATCAAAACAATCCAATCGAGCTCGAGTGCTTTTTCAAAGCACGTTCGCATGAAGCGAGCGAGCGCATTCACTGGTTCTCTCGCTCTCAAATGAGAGAACAACTGGTGCTGGCTCCCACCCTCCCCACTTACGACACTGATCGCACATTAAGTTCATTGAACCCCTCATGACGATCGTTGCTGAGACTTTGCTGGCTTTGCTCGATCGTGTGGAGAAGCAAAACAAACCCCCTCTTCCACCGTGGTGTTGTTGCTTCTTCGCTTGTGTATGGTAGTGGTAGTAGGTGTACCATGAGCATCATCGTTTCATTCGACAGTGACCGTCGTCGTTCAGCAGCGGGTGCGCGCTCGCGAGGGACTAGGTCATTGGCACAACACAACCAGCTATGGAGCAAAGCGGTCAGTCGGGCGGCGAGTTGTGTTGTGGACTCCGGGCGAGGTTGTGCACGATCGCTATACCCATACGTGCAAGTGGGTGAGGTCGTTCTTGTGGAGAGAAAGTGGGGAAATTTACGTTTATTTTTTGGGGATTCTCTTTCTCTTGCTCGCAGTTGTTTGTTCCGTGAGATGTATTTTGTTGAAGGGGAGTTTAGAAAGCGGTCTGAGTCCCACCACTGATTTTTGATTTGTTGGAATTTAAAGCAATCAGATCGGTTTGATTCGATATAAGACAGCGAGTTGATGACATTTTCGTCGTCAGAATCTTTGCACAGCGAGCAATGGTCAGTTGAAGGGTTTGGTATAAGGGTTGTTCAAATCACTCATTTTGCTCCACACAGTTGTTTTTATCTAGTTTGTTTATTTGGAAGGCTCAATCGCATTTGCTTAACGGAGCCGATAATTCATTGTTCATTGTTTGTAGCTAAATTCACTTAATTCTATGTCTAGTAAGAGTTGGGCCGAATACTCGTGGCTTACCCGAGGTTAGAGGAAAACATTGTCGAAGGATAGGATAAGGGGAGGAGTTTGGGGGTAGGGTTTGTCTCATCAGAGCGATGTTGCCAGTATGAATGGTAGTGTGGTTCTAGATTCTTCTGGAGTTCAATCGGCTATGGTGACCAGTAGGCGACGATGAGACTCATCGAGACAGGGGAACAAGACAAACACAAACTAATAAAGAGAAAAAAGACAAAGGAATTAAATTCTTATACTAGACATTTGCAGAAACACATAAATCGACTCCATATAGTAAAGATCGCGGGTTGCTAAGACGTCTTTGGTAAGAAAATACGGTTGTCTTCCTTGGGTCTGAGGGTATTCAAAACTCGCTCTCTGGTGGCGTCATTATCCGTATATTGCCAAACTGCGTGATCGATGTCACTGTAACCGTTTCCACACCGACCGATGTTGCTGTCCACGAGGTTTTCTTCACACCGGGCAATGGATTCTAAATAAGGTTCAAAGAGACGAACCGGTATTTGTCTGTTAAAAACAAACACAAAAATGAATAAGATCCTAAGAGAATTTCAAGCATATTTTGTTGCAATCTTTTGTCTTATTTAGGACCTGATTTTAAGTCTAATGACAATTTTGTTTGAAATGGGTTCTATTAGGACCTTAAGAAATTTTATTCTGATCTCTCATTTTCTCAGCACAAGATTTAAAATGGAGAATTAAATTACGCAGACAATTGGTCTGCTATAGTTCTGCTAAACAAAAAATGAAAATGCTGGACGCAATGCAATTTCCAAACTGTTTTTGTAATATCAAATGTAAATTTTAACACTTTGAATTAACATTGCAAACCAAGAACAATAAATTCATGAACAATCAACAAATGGAAACAACGTAGAACTTGAGGAAAATATCGCTTTTATTCCATTCGTCGATTTTAATAGAATTTTTAGAGTGTAGGCACGTAGCTAGGAAGCATGAAAGTACAGCTACCCAATCAGGTTGTGGAATAGATCATAATCATAAAAAATAGGAAATATATATTTGTGTTTTCTACGTAAATTATATTTTGCAGGATTTTTGCGCGATTGGAATTCTGTCTTAAAACTTTAATCAAGATTCTTCTTACACTTTTACTTGCAAATTTGTCTCATTTCCATCGAGAAATTAATACCGATTTAAAGCAGAAGTAATGAAAAGAATGTCAATCAAATAACCACCTTGATAGAAATCATGAATAATTTTCAAATCTTCTTAATCTTCTCTCTCAGTTAAAGATAAGTCGTAATCAAAGCGATTCACACTAAGAGACCATGCATTATTTACGTAAGAATTTAAAGGGATATTTTCATTCGTTTTCTAACAAGGGAGGGAGGGAATCTCACCATACCTTACGTAAACATGAAGAATTCAGAACATGTCAATGTTCGACGTACGATTTTACTAAAGAGGAGCAAAACTTCCCACGTAATTATTGCGTGATCCCTAAGAAAGCTTCCCGCATCAGTAGGATTGTAATTTACAAAAACCCCTGAACGATCATTTCCCCCCATTTCGCTGAACATCAATGAACTTGACCTGCAACTTCCCACGGCAACTTCACCACAAGCTTTCCAGCCGAAAGTTCCAACCACCACTTTTCCCAACCAATCGCAGCTTTGCTTTCGCTCAAATTCACCACAAGCTCTAACATCTCTTTCCATTTTCTTCCCATTTCTCCCCACACAGAAGCCCGCAGCAGCCGCCTGAAGAAGGTCTTCCTCCCACTGCTGCTCGCTCTGAAGCTGAAGATGGCCATCGTCTTGCCAATCTTGCTCACCATCATCAAGCTGATCTCCCTGAAGGGATTGATCGCCGGACTGCTGGCCCTGAAATTCTCCCGTAACTATTTGATTGCCCTAACACCCCCCAAACCCCGGATTTACCAAAATCTAATCAATGTCTTTTCTCTTTATCAGTGTTCACCTTCCTGAAGGATCTGTTCAACAAGAAGCAGGAACGTGTGACCACCGCCTACATCACCAGCGCCCAGCCCGTGAACGCCGAAATCGTCCACCAGGACTGGCACCGCAATGGACAGGCTTCCCCGCAGGAATTGGCCTACGGTGCCTACAATCCCTATGCCACTCTGCAGTAATTGTGTTACCATTAGAGCATAGGAGGTATCCCCCTCCCCAGCCCCCCGCAATAGTCAGCGATTGTTATGATTGAGCAGACCAAATATTTGGAAGGTCACAAAGGCCTTATCCTAGTGCACGGTTAATTTATTTATTTAATAGTATTTATGATCAGTTAGCTGTTTCCTACTCTTCCTATATTTTATTATGTTCCTATAAATCTATCAACCGCCATTCTTTCGTTTCCTATTTTCTATCTTTTGTCGTTATTTATTTGTGTTGAATGTGTAAATAAGCACCGTGAAAAATAAAGAAGTATTAAAGCAATTTACAGTCATTTGATTATCATCACACCCATTGCAAATATGTTATTCCCATAAAGAACTTGTAATAATTGCAATGCTTAGAATTCAAAAGGGATATTATTCCACTGCGACCAGCGTTTAGTACCCATGGAAGCATCGGAAGTGCGTTCTCGGATGTATTGGTTTGGTGATTACGTTCCAGTTGAATAAAATTCTTCTTGAGGTTAGGAATTGGCTCTTCAAGCAAGGGATCATTTGAAAACTTTTTCCTTTCCTTTATTTAACGTCGGTCTCTGTTCCGCAATCTAGTGCCAATCACCGACGGACATCGATTGCCATCCATTGACGGCAATCGAATGTGCAGGAAGGCAGCTTCCACACCTGCGTAGGATATCGCACCCATTTAACACATATGGGCCGGGACCAACGGCTTTACTTCCCTTCCGAAGGAAGACGTGACCAGAGATTTTTATGCCTCAGAAAACTTGTGATGTCGACAATTTTCGCGTAGCTACCTCGGATATTTGCTACGACATCATTGTTCTCACGGAGACATGGTTGTATTCACGCACGCTCTCTCGTCAGGTGTTCGGCGACGATTACGAAGTTTTCCGTTGCGATAGGAATCCTGCTCATAGCCGGAAAGCTAAAGGTGGAGGTGTTTTAGTGGCCGTTAATTCTAGATTTAAAGCGAAGTTACTAGAAAAAAAATATCGCCGAGTTACTCTTTAGTTTAGATTGGGATGACTTATTGAACACCGTTGACATTGAGTCCGCCGCTCAAACTATTCCCAATGTCTTGGCATATGTCATTGACAGACACGTTTCGAAAAAAATTCACAATCATACGACCCATCCACCATGGCATACGAGGGAATTTCGTCGACTGAAATCCAGAAAGAGAGTCGCTCTTAGGAAATTCACCAAGCATCGCACACCATCGCTTCAACGTCACGAATAGAAACGAGTTGTAAAACGGTGCTTTCTTCAGTATCGACGTTGATTGCAGAGAAAGCTTAAGTCACTTCCCAAGCAGTTTTGGAAGTTTGTCAACGAGCAACATCATGAAGCTGGTCTGCCGTCGCCTATGATATATAATGGTAACGTGGCCTCATCTACGCAAGATATCTGTCAGCTGTTCTCTGAAAAATTTGCTAGTGTCTTCACGGACGAGAGACTGAGTGACGACCATGCCCGACTGGCTGCCAGTTACGTACCAGTCTCTGGCCAAACCATGAGCAGAATTGACATCAATCCTGAAATGTTTTCCAGGGCTTCCTCGAAACTCAATTCGTCGTGCAATCCGGGTCCTGACGGAATTCCATCGGCGTTCCTCAAAACGGACTTGGACAGTTTGCTGTCTCCACTGCTGCACGTTTTTCAACGGTCCGTGGACGTCGGCGTTTTCCCATCCTGTTGGAAGCAGGACGTTGGCAGCTACCGTGGCATCACTTCGCTTAGCGCTGTTGCTAAATTTTTCAAACTCGTTGTTATGGAACCTTTACTCGCTCACCGTAAGCCGTATATTAGTATCGACCAGCAAGGTTTCATGGCTGGTCGCTCCACTGCCACTAACTTGCTGTGCCTTACTTCCTACATCTCTAACAGCTTGTCGGTTCGTGCTCAGATGGATGTAATTTATACTGACTTATCTGCAGCCTTCGATAAATTGAATCACCGCATATCAATCGCAAAACTGGACAGGCTTGGTATCCACGGCTGTCTTTTGCTATGGTTTCAGTCAGACCTCACTGATCGCTATCTTACTGATTTCATTGGTGATCACCAGTCCCGTATGTTTGCTGC